CCTGCGGCTGCTGACCAGAGTGGCCTCACCTCTTCTTCGGTTTGCCATTCCAGCTCTTCCACCAGTGTAACCAGTTCTTTGAATTATACATCCAGTGCTCACAAATCTTAGAGTGGTTTCTGTTCTCTGGCTGGACCTTGATTGATAGGCTCTTTAATATTTTTCCTATTTATTTATACTTTCATAAGTAATCTATGGGATTGTTTTTGTGTGCTTTTAACATACTTAAAAATTTTTTTTTCCTTTATGTAATTGTAATTATGATTTCCTTGATTAAAGAGCTTAGGTTATAGGATAAAATAATTAAGTTCCTATTAATGAATTACATGACTTTTTTTGTTTCACTTGAATTTAACCAGAGGTAAATACATAGGCTGATATGGGAAAATGCTGTATTTTTTAAAAAAAAAACAAAACAAACAAAAAAAACTTCCTAGTTATTCTTGCTTTTATTCTAGTCCACACTAGAAACAGCTGCATCCTCCTCATTATCGATTCCTTCCTAAGTATGATTTGAACAGGGCTTGGTGATAGGCCATAATTCTAGGATTTGCTTTCTACCAGAACATAGCTTTCAAGGGCCAGAGAAGCATGAGTGGAGGAGAATGGCCACAGTACCACTCTCCATGAGCCAAGAGATGCTAAAAGCTCAGGTGAGAAGCAAAGTCAAAGACAGCCTATATGTCAGTCTCCCAGGTGCTTTGAGCTATTAAAATTGGAAAAACTGCACCTCACCGCCTCGACCTTTGAAGGATCCTGGAAATTAAAGAAAGATAATGGCTCTCATATTTATTAATAAGCTGAATTCATAACCTTTGCTGTTTTCCTACGAACAGCAATATTCTTACTATCCCAGTTTTTATTTCTTTCTTAGTGTTTGCATTAATTTTCCTAAGTCTGCTATAACAAATTGTCACAAATTTGGTGACTTAAAATACCAGAAACATTGTTTCACAGTTCTGGAGGGAGGCTAGAAGTTCAACAATCAAGGTGTTGGCAGGGCTACACTCTCTCATGACTCTAGGAAAGAATCCTTCCCTGTCTTCCTAGCTTCCGGTGACTGCCAGCAATCCTTGGGCTTCCTCGGCTTGTAGCTTCACCCCAATCCCTGCCCCCGCCTTCACATAACCTTCTTACAAGGACACCATTTATTGGATCTATTGACCCATTCTAATCCAGTATGCCCTCATCTTCACTAATACTTGCAAAGAGCTAGTTCAAATAAAGCCACATTCTGAGGTTCTGGGAACACATGGACTTTTCGGGGACACTGTTCAATCCACTACAGTACCTGACACATTATCATGCCCCTCGTTGAATGTCTAATATTTGAACAGAACTTGCTTTGTGTATTCATTTGTTACCCAAGTAGCATCTCGATTTCATCTGAATCATATTTAGACCCCGCTTTTCTCAATAGCCTGTTTGTTGCTGTATTTACTCATTCTCTTGGGTCTCTGCATGCACTCTGTGTTATCTTTATCCAAGGCGACGCATTTTCGGCTGTGTTTGCAAGTGTTGGCAGCTTCCCCAGCACCATGACTTAGCATTGCCCTCTGTACTCGGATGAGGAAATTGTGCCTCGGGTAGTTCAGTCCCACATCTGAGGCTTGCTGCCCGCTAAGGAAGAACCAAATTGTCTGATTTGACTGGAGGATTTACTGGGTCTTTATCCATTTATCCATTTTCCTCTTCAGAGCCAGGCCCAGTGGGTGCTGTGAAAACAAACTTCATAGCTTCCTCAAGTCTCCAGCCATTCTCTCTCTCAAGGGAGATGCAATAGGCCAAATTCTAAAATAGCCTTCACGGCCCCTAACTCCTGTATAATCTTCTTCCCTGGAGTACAGGCAGAATCTTTGACTATAATAACATTCACATAATTATGTTATATCGTATGGTATAGGAATTTTACAGACGCAATTAAGGTCGATCAGCTGACCTTAAGATAGGAAGACCGTTCAGGTCCTCCTGACCTAATCAGAGGAACCCTTACTCTCGTTACTTCTGTTTGTTGGGCGGTCACTTATACTGAAAATGACATAGAAGAAAAGAAAAAAGAGGGCAAACCACAGTTTCTTTCCTTTTGGTGCATCTTTACTCATTAGTAAACCAAATGAAGATTGTGTGCATATTAAGACGTGAAATAAAGTTTTGTACAGTGTTTCCACTGTTTTGGTAAGGATAATATACAGCTGTATGTATGATCTCCAAAATATGAATCGGGTGATGTTTATGGTTCTGCGTGTGAGTTAAATACTCTATTTGCATTTAAATTTGAATACTGCACAATGTAAAGATGAATAGTAAAATTCATGCTTACTGTAAGAGATTACGACTATGAAACGATACAAAACTAGAATGAACCCTGTGGAATTGGATTAGAATTAGTGTGAGCTCGTGGTTTTCCATATAAATAGATTGGTATAGAAATAGATGTATAAAGATTTGTGTAACTGTAGGTATATATGAACTATTTTCTATGAAAAGAAACTAGGGTTACTTGGAGAAATAGCTAATTCCAGGGTTGACACAGGGAACAGATTTTTCCCCCAGAAAGTATGGGAGTGCTCAGTGAATTTGTTAAATCAGTGAATTCGGGGACCCACCGAAAGACATGGAGGCGAGCTCAATTAGCGCATAAAATAGTGGCACTAATGGATTATGACCCAGTGAATAAAAGAGGGATCCATGAGACTACACCAAAATGAATAAAGAAGATAGAAAACTTTTTGTCACAGTGTTTTGTCAACTAATGAATATAGAAGAAGTGATGGAATTAGAAAATCGTGATTTTGGCAATCATATTGATAAACAGTCCATCCAATAACATCGATGGGTCCTTATACGAGTGAGTAGGTAAACATTTGATGGGGAATAGGATATTTGCCTTGCCTCAAAGTACCTGTTCACAAAATGCTTATCAATTACTGACTGGTATGGACTGAATGTTTGTCTTCCCCCCACCCCAGTTCATTTGTTGAAATCTTAACATTCAATGCGATGGTTTGGAGGCAGGACCTTTGGGAAGTAATTGGGCCATGAGGGTGGAGCCCTCATGAACGAGATTAGTGTCCTCATGAGAATACACAGGAGATTGCGTATTCTCTTTCTTTCTTTCTCTCTCTCTTTCTCTTTCCCCTCACCCCCCACCCCCTACTCTCCACCATATCAGGATACAACATGAAGACGGCCGTCTGCAAACTGGGAAGTGGGCCCTCACCAGACATCAGATCTGCTGACACCTTGATTTTGGACTTCCCAGCCTCCAGAACTGTGAGAAATAAATATTTGTTGTTTAAGCCACCCAGTTCATGGTAATTTGTTACAGCAGCCTGAGCTGACTAAGACAATTACTAAGGGAAAAGAGTTACTTTACAGTGGAGTACCTGGCAGGTACCTCTGTACAAGTATTCTGTTGCCGTGTAACAAATTACTACAAACTTAATGGCCTGAAACAACACATGCCTATGATCTCATAGTTCTGTAAGTCAGAATTCCAGGGTTCAACTGGGTTCTCTCTTTGGGATCTCCCAAGACTGCAATCAAGGTGTTGGCCAGGCTGGGCTCTAATCCGGAGGCTCTGGGGAAGAATCTACCTTCCAAACTCGTTCATATTGTTGGCAGAATTCACTTCTTTGCAGCTCAAGGACTAAGGTCCCCATTTTCTTGCTGACTGTCAGCCAGAGACCAGGGAAAGACCCCTCATCCTGGAGGCCATTCACAGTTCTTTGCCACAGGTCTTCTCCACATGGGAGTGACACCATGGGCCAAGGTCACAGCAACATCCTAAAATTCTGTCTACCACTCCTCCTTAATCAAGTGATCAATTTAACATTAACAGTAATATGACAAATTAAAATGATGTACCACCTCATAGGATGCAATGAGAAGAACCCGGTATCGCATCTGTGATATTCCTGCTAAAGATGCATAACTTGAATATAACCACAATCAGACGGTCCCATCATGAAAGACATTTGACAAAGTGAGTGGTCTGTAACATTTAAAACAAAGTCATGAAAGTCAGAGAAAGACTGGAATACAGATTCCAGATGAATACAGAAAGACCTAATAAATAAATGTAATGTGTGATTTCGGCTGGATCCTTTTGCTATAAAAGATACATTGGGACAACCAATAAAACTTGAATGGGGTCTGAAATTCGATGATATTAATATATTATAGTGAATTTCCTCATTCTAATGGTTGTAATGTAATTATAGGTATAAGTCTTTGTTTTAAGAATTACTAAGTATTCAAGAGTGATGGGGTATCGTGTCAGCAAATTACTCTCAAACTACTCAGAAAAAACACTCTGTACTATTTCTACAATTGTTTCTTAAATTATTACAAAATGAAAAAAAATTAATTAGCTAATCAAGAAAACAAGAAAGGCAAGCTAGATTCCCAACAGAATCTAAAAGAAATGATTTCGGGGGAAAATTTCACACATTCTTTTTTAAAATTCATTTCGTTTTATTTTTAATATTAAAAAAATAAATGAAAACAGAATGAAAGAGTCTACACTCTTTAGGATATCGCTTTGTAAAAATGGAAAAATTGCTGACTGGGAAGAAATACAATTAAATCTGTGTTAAGTTATAAAACTGGTCTGAGTAGTTGTCAGACAAACTTATACATCAAAATGGAAAGCCGAGGCTCAGAGGGACATGAGAATAGTCATGTGTACAAGTGTGTCAAAAAGGTAAGTAACATTTTTAAAAGTATACAGAAATGCCAAGAGCTTTGTCAAGGTTCCAGGCCACTCCTTGTGGTTACAGAAAGACAGTAGCCTTCTTTTATAGAGGAATAAGCAGGATTTATAATGTTTTCTTTTTAATTTTAAAAGCAATTAATATTTACTGATTATTTTTACATATTTCTCCTAGAATTCAGCACTCAATAAATACATAGGGACTACGGTTTTGTTTCTGTAAGAAAAACAAAAACAAAAACAAAAACCAAAAACATCACTGTTACTTTTTAAACATTTTATTCTTGTCTCGGTAACATTACAGACGCCAGTCTCTGGACGTCACTGGAAAGAGGTGGCGACATTTTGCTTTCTGAGCAGCCCTGTTGCCTTCGGCACGTGTTGACTCTCTGCACGGTGCACGCCACATCCGGACACACTCTGATCAATTGTGAGGTGGTTGGCCGAGTTCGCCACACACCATGGCTTTCCACGTGTGTTTTCCTCAGCCTGTCTTTGGGTTTGGTGCTCCGGCCTTCCGTCGGCACAAGGCACATTGTTGTCACTCTCCCACCAAGGCAAAGGGGTTGTGGCATCTCAGAAGGGGCAGACTTCTGAAACTCAAAAACATCCACAAGCCCCAGCTCATTCCTTCTCCTAACTACCTCTTTTCCTGGTGTTAGTTACTGTAATAACACAATGCACCCGTACGTATGCTTCAGAAGAAATCAAATACCAAGTGTTTTCTTTCCTTTTCTTTCCCTCCCTCCCTTCCTTCCTTCCTTTTCTCTCTCTAATTTCTTTTTTTTTAGGCAAGGCAACCCTTGGTTGACGTCACAAATTGCAAGGACCTTGTCAGCTTACAATCCCTTATTTTTTATTTTTTATGCCTACAGCACCTGGTCTTCCTAGGAAGTCTCCCATCCAAGTACTAACCAGGCCCAACCCTGCTTAGCTTCCGAGATCAGACAGGATCAGGCTTGTTCAGGGTGGCATGGCTGTAGACCCAAGTATTTTCTTAAAAGTCCAGAACATAAACAAGTTAGTAAATTGAGTTAGAAACCACAACTCTCCCTAAAGTATGCATATTTCCATATCTACCAAAATAAGGTTCCCTTTCTTTTGCCTGCTTCTCAGGTTATGCAGGCCACTCACTCCACGTCCTGGCAACAATTTGGAGCTAGTCCTAATAGCCCTAGAACTCCTGAATCCATTTCCTTAATTTCTGCCTGAGAAGAAAAAAAAGATCTCAGAAAAATAAATCTCTCTACTCCTTTTTTTTCCCTCTGCTTCCAGCACTTGAAGGATGCAACTCCTGTCTTTCATTTTGGCTTGATTTCTTTCTAAACAAATAAGTAATATTCTAAAGCAGAAATTCCTGTTGTAATTGTCTTCTAATGCTTTGGATCTTAACTCAGTTCTACCTCTAAGCTGGGAGCCCAGTGCCCAGACGAGGAGCTTAAACACTTGCATCACCATAATTATCAGCCTTGCGACACCATCTTTTGCAACTCTACTGGATGAAAAGCAGCACACTCACAGCTGTAGGTCTTACAAGCTCTGCTACACAGGCAGTCCTGTCTTCCTGGAACCATGCCATTCCTATGTAGGGGGTCAGCCAGGTCTGGTAGCTGAGACGGCCCTGATGTAACCTGGGTACTTCAGGCTGTGGCATGATAGCTCTGACTTGAAAGGTTCAGCCTCTACCAGCCAGTCTGGAAATCATAGACTGTCAAGGTTGGTGGGGTCTTGGAGGCACTGAGGCTCTTTGAATCTTCAGTATCACAGGCTGGCTACTGCCCAACCACTTCTAGTAACCGGAACTCACTTCTTCCAACTAATATTTAGAAAAATCTTGTTTAGAGCACTCTTATTTATGCTAAGCTTAAATTGTGCCTTCCTATATCTTTCACCTGTAGATCTCAATTCTGTATGCTGTGACCACACAGAACAGATCTTAAATCTATTCCTGGTGAAAGCCCTCCAAATATTTGATACAGCTGTTATAGTCCTATATTACACACAATTGTTTTGGGTAAAGATCGCCAATTAATCAATAGAGTTTAAATTAAATTTATTTTTAATAATTTATTAATAATTTAATGTATCCCATTTAATATTAATAGTGGATCATTCCATAAATTATATTAAACTAATAGAATTTACGATGACTATGTTTTTAACTTTATACATGGGCGAGGTCATTCTGAGGCCAACGTCCAGTCTACGGTGTTGCGAACTTAGAAATTTATTTTTGTTAGTTCGCTCAGGACTGGTCTGGGGGTATGATCCATAATAATCTAGCTCATAAGAAACTAATGAACGTGGTAGAATTCCAGTTTA